AAGTGGGTGTATATTCTTGCATTACTGAAACACTTATTTAAGCTGTACATCAGCTTCTTCCATCTCTGCATCACATGAATTTTCAGATGGTTCAATACTTGCTCGCTACGACTTCTAACTGTAACTTCACTATCATTTTGTACCAACTTAACAGTCACATTTTCAGGCACTTGAGAATCAGGAAATGTATTTCTATGAATTATTTCATCTTTTTCAGATACTTTACTAGCCACTTCTATCATTTCTTCATCCTATGATTCTTCAAATGCTTTTATTATGATTTCCATATCTTCTATTTTGGCTTCAGCTTTCTTTTTAAGATCCAAGATTTTGCTTCTAATCTTGTTTTGCTCCACTTCCATCTGTTGGAGTTGTTGTTGCAGCTTTTCTTGTCCGACTTTTATTTCTTCTTGACCCGATTTTATTTCACACTTAATCTCAGCCTTTATCTCTTCCTGTATGGCTTTCATCTCTTGTCTGGCTTTTACAGATGCTAACAAGTCCATCAAAGCCTTCATTTCCTCCACCATGGCTTTCTCCTGTAGGTGGGTCACTGGCATTCACTCAAAACCCCATTTCTGACACTAATTATTGCTTTCTATGGATTTGGAGTAATTGATAATAATGCTTCCTGAAGAATCAAAACACAATTTATTTGCCAGTAAACATTGTTACACAGGACAGTTCAAAAGACACATTTACAGTCATTGAGAAACTACGATAAACACACTGAAACAATCAGCAACACAACCTTCAGGCTATAATGGTAAAGACAGTTTCATGGCAAAGCACTAAAATACAGCTCCTAACTCAATCGATTGCTGTCATGCTAATCTCTGAAACCAGGACACTGTACTACACTACTTCTCTGCATACAGGCAGGGTATATATTGCTTAAATGTATCTTCGAGAATAATCCCAAAAAAGCTGCAAGAATGCATTCTAGAATGTTCTCGCTCTGTGTATGGCATATTGCCAAATTTGCCGCCAAATGAATGATTTTGCACCAAATGTGGTAACACTAAACTGGCTTTGCGGAGAAGCTATCTCACTGCAGCTGGGCATTTCGCAACAGTACATTATATGTTGTCCTGAAATAAAAGTTGTATGTTATTTAGTATGCTTTTGATTTAGGCAACAGCTAATATTATTGTGCACTACTATCATCAGATGGTTAAGCTTCCAAAATTCTGTTCATTATGCATATAAATAACAAAATAAGTGTTTAAAAATCTAAGGAGAAGGGAAAGAATTTGTAAAGTTAAAAATTTTAATTAAAATATAAATATGAAGATTTGCATAAGTACCTCAATATTAGATGTAGCTAAATTACAAAAAGCAGAGTTTAACATATTACAAATCCTGCCAAGCATGAAAGTTAGTTAATATATAGCATATAAATCACTTGCCATTCAATCATATTAAATCATAATAAGTATAAATTATATCAATAGAAATAAATTACAATCATCTTAAATCACTTGCAGATTTTCATGTTACATCGCCATTGCTCATCCCTTTTCATATAGAATGCGTATCATGGCTTTCGTTGATGACCAGATCCTGTAAAATACTCTAATTCATGCAATCTCAAAGTGAGAGAAAACGTATATCCATCTTCACAAAAGTTAAACCAGCTTATCAAGAATGAAATGAATTTACATTAAATTAAAACAAACATCTTATGATTGTGTTGCGATGTCATGCTTATCCATTATTGGCATTAAATCACACTGTTAGGCAACAGTGTATACTTGTAATAATGTTATGAGCTCTATTATGGTGTTGCAAATCTCAAATCTACTACTCTTGCAAAAAATTTTTCATAATATATTTCAGCTACTTGAGCTTTCTGGTTAATTGAATGTTGGATAGTCTTGCTTTTACTATGCATATATATGTGTGTAGAGAATATCTTCTTGTCCGCCTTTTACGGCTGCTAACAAGTCCATCAAAGCCTTCATTTCCTCTGCCATGGCTTTTTCATGTAGGTGGTTCACTGGCATTTACTGTCGAATCGCACTTCTGACACCAATAGTAGCATTCTATGGGTTCGTGGATTTGGAGCAATTGATGATGACACTTGGTGAAGAATCAAAATGCAATTTTTTTGCCAGTATTATACAGGACAGTTTCAAACACATGTTTACAGTCATAAAAAAAACTATGACAAACACACTGAAACAATCAGCAACATAACCTTCATGCTATAATAGTGAATATAGCTTCACAACAAAGCACTAAAGTACAGCTGACCCGTTCAATCTCTTTCAAGCTAATCTCTGAGGATACATATAGCTTTAACCTACCTTCGAGAACATTCCCAAGGAAAACTGCTAAGAATGCATTGTAGAATGTTCTCGTTCCGTCTGTGGCATATTTCCAAATGGGTGACTTCATGCCAAATCTGGCAGCCCTAACCCCACTTTGCAGGGAAGCTATATCATCACAGCTGGGCATTTTTCAACAATATGTAATTTTGCTCAGGAAGAACATCTCTTCGATAGAAGTAAAGTACAAATGCACCTCTAAGCCTTTTTTTTTTTTTTTTTTTTTTTTTACCCCCGATTGTCAGGCCCATAGACCCTGTGAAACGAATGAGTATTTTCCATCCAAAGATAAATGTTTTGCATCTAAAACTAACATTTGAAATAGCTTCTTTATTTACATCTTCTGAGACAGATGTATAGTTTTTTTTTTTTTTTTTTTTTTTCCCCTTCGGAAACAGACATATAATTATGGTTTCTAAATCTCATAAGATAAGAACGTCTTAATATTATATTAAATTCTTATAGATCAATAGTTTAAGCCTATCAAATAATGTCAAAAGGCATGAAACATTCCAGAAATATATATGAAATTATGTATTGAGTCATTAAATTTAGTTTGGGAAAGTTTTTTTTAACACTTTTTATGTTAGTATTTTGCAGACAAATTAATTGCAAAAGAATAGAATTCAATGTTCAAATATGAAGAATTAATTTTGTCAATTAATTGATTATAATAAAGCATGTAAATTACGTCTCCTTCAGAAAGGATGCTTTCGTGGAGAAATCTCTCAGGATTTTCACTCATGTTCACACAACACACAGGAAGATGACAAACTGTTTGCCAAGCACAAAATATCAACTGACTTCCTTGTACAGTCAAAAGTCTTTAATCCGGACTCGTTGGGACTTCAGCGATTCCGGATTATAGATCATCAATTTAAATCTGGTAAGATGGCATGCAGAAATTATAAAATTTAAACTACGAAACCGTAATTTATGAAATAAAGAGCAATTAGGATCTAAAGGGTATCAAAATTTACAATAAAAAAGCTTAATATTTATTTGTTTACTTTATTAAACATTTCTTTCAATGTGCGCATGCGTAAAGCATACATTACGCATAGTCGAAATTAGAAAATTGCAACTAGAAAACTATTTGATATGTATTCGTGACATTTATAATGATGAGGAATTTGATTTAAATCATATCAAAGACGGAGTACATCGAGATGAAATACTACATTTAGTAAGAAATTATAAGCTGAATAAAATAAAAACATCTGTCCTAAAGATAAGGATAGTGCTGACAGATGAACTTCCAGTTCATCGCGTGCCGCGACATTCTCTCCCCCTTCCCCGCAGAGCAGCGTGAAATTGATAAACAGATTTCGGAATGGTTAGAGAAACATAGGATACACCTTTATCCATTTTTTGCAGCAATTCCACTTTTTGTTTGATATACATCGAAACATGCTTTTGCTTTGTAGACCCTTTGGCAGCTCCAGAATCGGAAATTCTTTTTGACATAATCAAAAGTTCGAGCTTACTTTTATAAAATTGCTCTAAGAGTCTACAAAAAATAATAAGCCGAATCCAATTAGAAGATTAAGGAACAACGCAATCTGCAACATTAACTGAAATAGATAATTAGATAATTTTAGCTTAGCTTATACCGTCCATTATACATTAAACGCGTATTATGCGCTTGCGCAGAAAGTTTATAGTTTGAGGTTCGGATTAAAGACTTTTGACCATATTATGTTAGTTATTTACTGAACCATTGCCAATGAGATAGGATATTTTCATTAAATATTTGTTATGTATTTTGATTTTCCAAACATTATTGTGTGTAATATTTTTTATTTCTGTTCATATATAAATGGTCTGAATAAAAGTTTACATAAATTTAGATTAGCAAAAATTAAAACATTTAAAAATAAAATTCAAGAATTTTATTCTTTGTATATTTTTTTCCCAATACTCTGTTTTTTGTGCTAAGCTGTGCAATTTTATCATCATACCAATATATTTCATAATGATTTAAATTTTCCATGTTGAATGTTTTGAAATATTTAACAATAACTCTTTTTTGAGGTGTTAAAATCTCTGTATTCCAATTTTTTAAGACATAGTTTACTTTTTTAATTCTAGATCCTGTTAAACAAGTTAAAACAATTGGATCTGATAGATTATTGGAAATAATAAAATGAATGATTTAGTTTATGAAATATAGCATTAAGGAAGTGATTAAACCAAAAGAGAAACTCATGCTGGCTGTTTGCTCTTATTTCAGCATTTTAGCTCCTGTATAGTTTTAAATAGGCTGTATCTATTAAGCAAATTAATAAAGTGTCACTGATAATCATCTTTTCAAAGATCCTCAGAATATAAAATCGTTTGGGAATATACATGGCCATGTTGGAAAGATTTCACTATAGTTTTAAACATAGCATTTAGTCAATTTTTATTCTTTATCAATTCAAATATCAGAATTCTGACATTTTATATTACAATTTTAAAGTATGTATATGCGTATAACCATTCTGTAAGTAAATTTACTTAAACAATTCACAATTTATTAGAATTATTTTAAATATAATATTTTAAATTACAGATATAATAATAAATATATTTAAATTACAATATTATAAAAATAATTTTATTTTTATAATATTGTATAAAAATAAATAATTATATTAAATGTATTTAATTTTCATTGTGAATTTACAGGAAGATAGTAATTCATGATACAACTCCTGAATTATTTCTTATGTTTCTGGAATATCTTTATGGAGGGCAAGTTGATACAGGGCAGTTATCTACAGAACAACTAGCTGATCTTATGCAGTTAAGTGATAGGTATGAGGTAAGAACATTTCATATTAACAGTTCACAGCTTTGTTTTATATTGTACAATAAAATATATTAAATTAAAAAGTCTAATAAATATGTAAATTGTTATATCTAAGTATATATATATATATATTTTTTTTGCAGGTTGATAGTTTAAAACAAATATCAGAAGAAGCATTAAAAAATCTTATTGATGATGACTCTGCTTTATTTCTCTTAAGTATAGCTGATCAGTTTAATGCTCGAGCTTTAAGGGTAAGATGAGATGGTGTGTTGTGTATATTTTATGCTCCCCATAAAATATTTTATTTCAGTTATTATTATTTATTTCAATTCAGAATTATATTAATGAATTTTTGTTGTGCAGAGTAAGATTTTAAAGGCAATTAATATAGGATGTGGTGAAATTTTAATTAAAACTTGTGAAAGAAGAAAATTCTCAAAATTACAGTTTAGCCATTTGATATTTACTTTTACATGCATCCATTCAATATATACTGTTTTCCATAGAAACTCTTAGGGAAGTATTCAAAAATATATTTATTTATATACGTTTTACTTGACTGAAATGTTAAATTGCAATAGATGCCACTTAATGTAATCAGGTTTGTCCACGGCTATTTTAAGAGCATAAAACATTCTTTATTCTTAAAAAAAAAAAAAAAAAAAAACAACTTCAAATTAACATTGAAATTTAATTAATATAAACATGTAGGAGTGGTGTTGAATGGTGTCATAAAAGAATCCTTTATTGTGTTAACAATAATATAATAACAGGTTTAAGTTACACACAGACATCACATATAATTTTAAGAATATTATAGAGCAAGAGTCTGATACAACCTAACAGGCTCATCGTGTGGCCTTTACTGAAGTCTTTCTCTGGCTACTCACCAGAAGGCATCCTCGGTGCTTGAGTGAGTCTCTTATAGTTTATATAAGCAGCAGAGTTTATATTAAATGACTGGTTACAAACTCGCCCTCTGGCTCTGCCGACGTCCAGACAAGGAGACTGAACTGGAAGATTTGGAGCTGTTGTGATATTGTTTCTAATCTCAGGTTTTTTGGTTTCCTGGACAAGGGGGCCTGTCTTTGAAGCATTGTCTGGAACCGTAAGTTCTTGATTAGTTCGGAAATGCAGAGTAACTTTTGGTTGTCAACCTTTCTTTCTGAGCAGAACAATGGGAGAAATGCACGTGCCTTTGAAAGGCGTTAGTGCAGATATATGATACATCCTTAAGGGTTCTGAGGGTTTATGAAGGCTTGAAATGACATAGGAAGTAAGTGATTTCTGTGTCATTACCAAGTATGGACCATCACACTTTGGTATCAATTTTGAAGTCTTTATTTTTTGCATTATTAGCAGGATGTAAATTGACCCACACTTTATCATTTAGTGACTAAAACATTTGTTGTCTTCTTTATCATATTGCTTTTTACGTTGATCTTGCTTCATTTTAATACAAACTGGTATGTTCTTTGTGATAGTTGCAAATTCTTTAAGATAAGAGCTGAATTCAGGAACAAAGTTAGCATTTTCGACCACAGCTTTGAAGTCGTGGACAATGTCATGGACAGTCTTTAGCTCTTTTCCAAACATTAGGAATGCTAGTGTATGGCACAAACTGCCATAATCATAGCGAAGTGAAGAACTGGCAGTTTCAAATGCCAGTTTATCAGGTTCAATGTTCCTTCTAACCTTCTTCGGGAACATACAAGGACCTGACTAGGAACAGAGAGCTTACTAAAGCTATGTTCACTAATTGTAGTAAGTAGAAGGATACAGACGAAGGGTA